AGCCCAAAATAAATATTTTTAGTTGGAAGACGTAGAATTTTAATTAAACCTAACTGAATGGAAAATTTTACTTCATGCAGCTCTCTTAATATATTTGAATCCCATTTTTTGTTTCATGCTTTCCCGATAAAAAAAAACACGCTGCCCCCCCGGCCCCCGGATACATTTGATCTAGTACCGCCACTGGCTGCATTAGAAGATGGATAAGGATTAAATCCCTGCTCCAGAAATGGACACTTCATCTGGATGACGTCTCTTTAATGATGACAAATAAAAACAAAATAAGAAAAATTAAAATGTCCAACTTGGCTTAAAGCTGAAACCATTTGGTGATCAAACTATTTACAGTTTACATTTACATACATTTTAAAACCAAATAAAAAATTTAAAGATGATCCATAACCACATCCTTTTCCTTAATCAGCCAAAAAAAAAAAAAAAATGACTTTACCAAGAAACTCAGTTTGATAAAAATACTCGACTTTAAAATTTTGTTCCATTGTTGTTGTAGCAAAAAATGTTGTAGAAAACACATTTTACAAAGAATGAAAACCTTAGAACTCTATCTGAAAGCAAGATTAAGAAAGGAAATATAGAATCTGTGGAAGAGGAAAAATAAAATGGAAAAAAATAACAAATATGTGAAAAAAAAACAAGATGTAAGAAAAAGGCAAAGTCACTTTAAAAACCCTTTTTTGAGTAAAATGTTTTTCAGATTTTCATTTCAGGATTGCTTTTTTAAATATTTCCATATAAATGTGTTCTTTGTAAGAATAATGGACCAAAAGTTGCTCCATAGATCCCAGGATTGAACTACCTAAAATATTGGAAACCAATCAGATTTCGGGTGTTTTTATCTAGATGTCTTCGCTCTGGTGTCTGATGTCTGTTTGTGTCTCTCTGCAGGTCTAACATCATCAGCAGCAGCAAACGGGCCGCGGCGCTCAGGGCCGTCCTGAGGACCCGCCTGCTGCTGGAGAAGTCAGCGGCGAGGGGTCCCCACCGGGCGAGAGCGTGGCAGGGCGAGAGCTCCGCCTCCTAAACGGGACCGGCTTCGATCTCTGACAACTCGCTGAACGCGGCGGCAGGGCCGTGTCCAGAACTGAACGTTCCTGCGGGGCGGCGGGCCCCTGAGCTTCAGCCCCTCAGGTGGAAAACACGCAGAGCCGATTCCCCAACTGGAAGAAAAACACAGAAACCTCTGGATTCCAGTCCCACGGAAAACATGAACGGACTTTTTTTTTTCAAAAACTTTTATTTTTTGTCTAAAAAGACAGAAAATATTACAAACATTTAATAAGACAATTAAAAAATCCATAAAAGGAAGATGTAGAAAAGTCCGGATTCAGAGAGTTTAAGGAAAATCTGATTTTCATCCTGAAAGTTGCTTTTCTCTCCTATTTTACAGCCTGACAAAGTTTAGACACATTAAAATAAAATCTGTTTTTTCTTCAGTAAGATAAAACGAAACGTTTTAGGATCTTTTATGATCCTTAAAGCTCTTTTTTTAAATTCTCAGGTAATAAAGCATCTCAGTGAAGCCCAGAAATGAAACCACTTCTGTTCAGACGCTTTGATGCATTTAAATCTGGAATAAGCTGAAAACATGGCAGACTCCTCCTGCTGAGTATCGGGACAGATTCCGCACCGCGTCTCCGTTTTCTGACCCTTCCTGTTTTCCTGGAGACTGGAGCCGTCTACTGGGAAAACGACTCGGACCAGGAGTCAAACTGGGAAAGAAGCATTTCAAAAGAAAGAGGAGAGTGAAGGTGTTAATGACTGAAACCAGAACCTTTGGTCTCCTGCAGCTGCTGGGACTTTTTTTATTTTTAACCCAATTCCTGTAATTTATGTTCTCCTCTGATTTATTTATTTATTCCTACGGAGGCCATATTGGTCCGTCTCATGTTTGCTGGGTTCATTTCTGTGAAATGGTGCCGAGTTCTGGCTGAACAATAATAAATTTATTTATCGCTAACTGATCGTCTCCTTGGTTACTGTTGGTGGTTTTTCCTCCGGAAGCAGAAAAAGAAGGAAGAGGGAGAATCTGAACTCCTCCAACTCTGCAGAATTTAACTGAAATAAGTCATGTTTTCTTCAAATGCATCTATTTGTCCTTTAATATGAAAAGAAGATATTTTGTCTTTAAAAGAAGATAACTTTTTATAACTATACACTTAAAAAAATAAGTTAATGGAGCTGCTTTAAACGTAAATCATTTAATTCTATTGGTAAAGCTCTTACCTGCTCAAAACGAGGAAATATGCTAATTTCAAGAAAAAAAATTTATGTATATTTTCAGTGATTTGTTTTTCAGTTTTTTTCAAGTTTATAATATCTAATATTTACGGAGCCCCTCTGATGACATGGTCAAAAAAAAATGTTTAATTGTGGCCACGAAGTAGTATTTCGCGGCCACACAATAAGTTTATCGTGCGCGCGAAATACTATTTCG